GCCACTGAGATATAGCTGAAAGTCTGAGTGCAATTGAAAACCTCTTGTTTGTTAGTTTTAAACTTTAATTCTAATCGATTCATTATGGAAATTCTTTTTTTTTTTTTTTTAAATGTTAACTAGAAAGAGAAATTTAAAATGCTGGGCACCCTGTGGGAAGCCAAAACATAGAGCGGCATCAAGGCTGATCAGTTTCAGCTACTCATCAGTCTTTCTTATTAAAGTAAAATACCAAAACATATTAAATCTGAATTGCTCATACATGTGAGAAATCTGTGCACTTCCTCCCTCTTCTGTACAAATGACCCTTACTTAGAAAATAATCATAATGATATTTTGTAAATTGCCTTAAAACAGGCCTCACTTTTGTAGAAAGTCTGTTTTTAATTTTTTTTTTTTTTTTGGTTTTTCTTTGATAAGTGATTATATTTGTCTAAGAAGTCAGGTAGGTCTGCAGCAAATAAAATAAAAGTTCTTTTTATTTTTTTTCTCTGCCACAGTTGGTTGCCCGTTACCCTGTGAATGAATGTGCAGCTGCTGGGACAGTGACCCTATCAGCATCCACTGGAGCTTCCTCGGGGACCAGCTGCTGGGCTTCCCAATCACCACAAGGCTTGTTATTCTGCTCCTGTGTATGGGTCTGGGCCTTTTGTAATGAGGACCTGCTGTCCACAAGGTAACAAACCAAGGGCCGTCACAAACGCACACTAGGGTTTGCAAATTAAAATTTAATTCTGGTCTTAGACATGGACAAGTTATTTTTAAACCTAAGCGACCCATGCTGCACAACAAACACCAGGTTCTAGCTTTTCCTCTACCTTTGCGGTTAAATGCTATGTGTGGCCGAGATTTAAAGGTGGCAAGGGCTAGAAGATCAAATCTGTGGAATTCTCAGTCAGATGAATTTTACCACTTACTGTAACAAATGCAAAAAAGGGCACAGAGGAAAGAGTAGGTACATTAATAACAGGCATTCCTGTAGTTTCAAAACGCTGATTTAGAAATGACCCCAGATGGTGTGAAGCCACTGTCATCGGCTCTGGCTCCCAACAGTGTCCCTGCCACACCTCCAGCACTGACATTCCCCTACTATCCTCTTCTTCCTTCTCTGGAAGATTTACTATAAAATCATACCCGCCTTCCCCTACTCCTAGCTCAGGTAAAGCCTAAAAACATGGAGATGTTGCTCCAGGGGTAATAAGCCTGGAAGAATTATCCCCATCTGTCCATAGAGAAAAGGGAAGTTCTGTTCCTTGTGTAATAAATCAGGTGAGAAATGTGTTGTAGAGGCTTTCATGAGAAACCTTTTATGAGTTTGTAATCAGAGTTATAAACCAATATCCGAACAGACTTCGTGATGGGACGAAGTTTCTCAGCATCAACACTATTGACATTATGGACTGGAGAGTTCTTCGTTGAGGGGGGCTGTCCTGTGCATTGGAGGGAGCTTAGCAGTCCCCCTAGCCTCTAGTCACTACATGCCAGAAACATTCCTCCCAGAGCTGTGACAACCAAAAATGTCTTCAGGCATGGTCAAACGTCTTGAGGTGGGAGAATGGCAGGGAGGGCCAGGGGGAGTGGATCAACACCCATTGAGAAATACATAATTAAGAATATTTATGTCTAAAGAATTGCCTTTAGAGGATAGCATGCATACAGAAAAGTCACCCAAGCATTCTAGTTGAAAGGCAATTTGATAGGCAGAATTTTAACAATCTAATTTTTGGTTAGGGAAGAAAAAAATGTACAGAGATTAATCCTTTAGCTAGAAGACACTAAGACTTAGAAGACTAGAGAACAGGCCTTGGAATCAGAGATCTAGATTATTCTGCTAGCAATGTGATCTTACTTAAAGTTTGTGTCCTTTGGTGTTTTTACCCATAATGTGAGGATAATTAATAGTATCTATCTATCCTTGACATGCCTCAGGGCCCTTACTCATGCTGGTCCCTGTGTCTGGCATGGTGTGACTGAATCCTCATGCTCTAAGTCTCAGTTTAAATAATCCCTCCTCAGAAAGGCCTTTCTGTTTGCTCTGCCTACAGCCAAGCTCTCTTGTGATTATAGATCATAGCACCGCTGGTCGTATTCACCACATTTTATAACTTTTTGTGTCTCCCCCCACCCTACTATTTTATAAAGTTCCCCAGGGCTATGTTTGTCTACTCAATACTACGTCCTGAACACCCAGCATGGGGGCAGGCCAACATTTTTTAAAATGTTAAGGTCAAACTGTCAAAATTAGTGATAGCACATAAAACAATGACAGCAGACTGCCTGGCTGATTAGCAAAAACGGTTGTATAGAGCCTAAGATTTATAAGATTGCACAGAGTGAGGCCGCCACATCCTGGGATATGCTCACACCACATATGACTGGAAAGATCTCACTCCAGAAGAAGAGGCTCTGACAGTGACCTCACTTCGCTTTAATACAAAGGAAATAATTCTAAGGTAATTTTCAGAGATAGAAGAGTAAGGCAGGAACACAGTCACAATATCTTCGGGACCGTGCTATTAGAACATTCCCGCTAAGGAGAAAGTACATTTTTTTAAAACCTATTATTTTTCACACTCTGTTAAGGAAAAAGAGTGTGCAATTGAAAAGAAGATAACAAGTACTGGAGACAAAAAAACTGAACTTCCAGGTGGCCAAAGGATCCTAAGAGCTATTTAATTTTACCCAGCTACTAAAATGATAGCCAAGTTTTTGCTGTGGTATTTTTTAAAATCCTAAATAATAACAGGAGAGGAGCATGTGTAGACCTGAATTTGAGATTGTGACAGATTCAGCAAGCTGCTGACAAATGAGCTAGATGCTGTTCCCCAAGACAATATACCAAAATGGATCATTCAAAGGATAGTGTGGGAAGAAGGTGGGATCAAGGGAAGCCAGTAGGGGTTCACACTAACCTCAGACTGGAGATGTGACAGACACTGTGTATCTGGGCTTTGGCAAGGAGGCTCTGAGGAGTCTCGTGATTTTTTTTAAAGATGGAGAAGCATGGGCTAACTGATCATTTATTTAAGACAGAGATCTCTGTGGCTGGAGAATTGCATGGAACATGACTATGTCGGTCTGAAAGCATATTTCTAGAAACAAGCTAAAGAATTTGTCCTTAGCACTGTCCTGTGCAACATTCCTAGCAGCTTTAATGAAAATTTTCCAGAGCAGAGGCTGGTAATATTTTTCTTTCTCATGAGCCAGAGAGGAAATGTTTTAGGCTTTGTGGGTGACATAAGTCTCCATGGCATCTTTTTCCTTAAAGAAAAGACTTTTTCAAAAGGTTACAACTAGTCTTACCCAGAGGGCTCTACAAAAACAGGTGGCAAGTCACATTTCCGTGTGGGCCGTCGTTTGCCAATTCCTGTTCTGTAGCTTATCAGCTCGAGGATGACATAGAGAGAGTAAACATATTGCTTTATAGAATCAGGATCCGTGAAGATACCACGAACCCCGTGGCATGTGAGAACAGGAAGTGGCTTGAAACCTAGAGATCACCTAGTCCAAGAAACCCCTCATCAATCCCCAGGACAAGCTGGGATGGCCTTGGATTCTTACTTGGCAGAAATACATAAAAATGAATGCATCGTTTTATATTTGAAATCCCAAACTCCTAATTACATGAGTATGGGACAGGCAATTATGGCTTGACAGCTGAACCAGGGAAGAAAGGCATTTTAGCCGAGTCAGCCACATATGGGTCAAGGGTATGGTGTGATTCCAAATTCCACTATCCAGAATATGATAACTCCACTCAGCTTCTTGCCCTGGAGTGTGACATCAAGAGTCACTGCTAGACTGTGTGAGGAAGGCTGCAGAAATTGGAGCTGTTTAAAGTGGAGGATGCACGGAACAGAATTATAGAAATTGCAGAGCACAGTAAAGCTACACAAGCAAGGAATGAGCTGGTTTGTCGTATGGGAGCCTGCACTGGCTAGCCAGGCTTTAGTGGGGGAAGAAGTCTTTGAGACAGCTGTTCTCAGTTCTTAGAGCTGCTGGGACTTTGGGATGGAATGTGCATGTATGTATTTCTCCCTTTAGGTCATAAAGCATGAAAGATTTTGTTTGTAGAAGGCATGATACATTTTTCCTAGTGCAGCAATCCAACTCTCAAGGAAAAAGGCAGCTTGGGAAAGACCACCCTTTCACTACTATCAGACGAATGTGCTCCCAGATGGAAACAGAGGACTCCAGACCTACACTGGCCTTATTTACTTTTCCATCCCTCGTCTTCCCCAAGTCCAATTTTGCCATTCCTAGATGTAACACAGACTAAAGCCACTCTGTCTTAATATATAAAACTCTTGAAATATTTAAAGATATATACTCTCTAAATCATTGCTGCTTCTGGAAAGAGATCACTAATTCCTTCTACAGCTCATTAAATTTCACATACGCCATAGTTTCCAAACCATTGAGAACAATTTAGAGTTTAAAAAATTCTTTTTATGAGCACGGTTCCGTTTGCTCCTTTGGAAACAGAGAAAGTATCATATTCTCTCTGTCTCTCTGTCTGCTCTCTCTCTCTCCATCCCTCTCTGGGCAAACCATCTGAACGAGATCCAGGAAATTTGCATAACGTATCTAAGACAGACAGCTAGAAAGTGGAAAGCCCAGGATTACACCAAGCCTTTTGAGTTCTAAGCCCGTGCATTTCCTGATTCTTTGTTCAAGGCTGTATAATTAGAAGGGTCTCCATGTGGCATGGGTTTGCAATATAGTTACAGTATTTTTAGCAGCAGTCCCACAGAGTAAATCTGATAAATTCTCATGAATAGAAATAATATAAGGAATGGGGTGGGGATGCAAAATAACAGATACAGGAATCCTTTCTCTAGGCTGAAACTTTTGGGTCCTTTTACCTAAATGCCGTGATTCTATTTCAACCCACCATGAAATTCTTAGAGCAACTCCTTTAGCAGTAATAACATTTCCCAAAAAAAAACCATTACTGCAAAGTACCAAGTTAGTACTGTTCTGGGGCCCTTTTCACAGACCTGTATTTGAAGCCGGTATTGTGGGTGAGCAGCTGTCCTTTTCACATGTTTCCATCGTTGAAGTTAAAGTCATAGTAGGAACTTCATTACTACCTGAGAACACACAAATCAGAATATGGTATAGAGACAAATATGCAAATGACAAGCAAAGAACATACGTTTATAAAGGCACATAAATCAAAGGCACTACCACTCCAATGTAGCTGTGCTTCTGAAGTCTTCTTTAGTAAGTTGGTTTGGAACTCTGAACACAGTTTTGTGTATGGAAGCAATTTTATAAATAGAGAATAGGTTCACAGGCCAATCCACTATAAGCTTCTTATATCTTTATTAATAATAATGTAGACCTTAACCACCATGTGTAACAATGTTTTGATGGCCAAGTGCATTCACGGATCAGACCTGGGATGCCAGGAACACACTTCCCCCAAAGCAGTTGGTGTCCCCTGAGCTCCAAGCCACTGGTCAGTCCCTATAGCAGGTCGAGACTTGCCCGTCATGGCAGTTTTAACAGTGAAGTTGGGGGTTTGGGGAGCAGGGTTTAAAAATGTAAGAATCTTTTGTCAGATCCTACTCAGGATCTTTCTTTTCTTCCTTAGTTCCCAGAGATCCACCTGTTTGCTCATGTACCACCTTCTTCCCTGGCCAGAATGGAACAGAAGATAGTAACCTTCCTATCTGGGTGAGCAAAACTTAATAAAACATTTTGTTGCTTTTCTTAGTAACAAATAGAAAGTAAAGAGGTTCCTACCTCTCAAACCAATGTTGCAAACAAAGTCATCAAGGAAAGTCCGTAAGTTGTAGGGACAGGAGTAAGTTCATTTTTATATACAAAGTGGTGAGGAATATTCACGTGCATATGAGAGCAATACCACACCAAGGTTACCCCGATTCTTTGATGAGATGAGGGCAGACATGGCAAAAGGGAGAGCTGGAGTTAGGACACGTGATCGGGAGAAGGACGAGGCAACAGGATTAGGTTGTTTGCCTCGATAGCCCTAGAGCTGAGAGAGACGGAGCCCACTCAGGGAAGGGAGGCCACACATTTGCCACCATCACTTCTTGCCCCCTCACTGGGCCAAACTTGGGGGAAAGGGTGGGTACATCATTTGGTGCTGGAGTGGGTTTCTGGTGGTCAGAGAGAGAGAGAAAGCAAGCGATGGGGTTTCTGAGTGTGTCCTGGTGGCCATTCCCTTACTTTATACTTTCTGATCCATGCGAGGCTCTGATGACGCCTAGCGGAGGCCTTGCAGACCTAACAACTAGGGAATACCAAAGGGCAGAGACAGGATGATACTGGAGTGGCGGGAGTGAAGGACAGTTAATGTTATTCAGTGCATTAGGAGAGAGAAGTGAATTTTAGAAAGAAAACAAAGAATACAAGGCTTTTGGGGGAAGGATCAATCTGAAGGAGACATAGGATTTACATACGGAAAGCGGGGGGGCAATCCCAGATGCAGTTTGTATGACAAAAGGCACAGAGGCTAGCAAAGGCACAGACATGGGAGCAGAGTGACCTGAGCTCCCAGACTGATGTTTAAAACCAAGCCAGGGCAGATCCCAGTGAAGTTTTTGAGTCAATGAGAGACCCAATCAGAACGGTGCTTAGAATGAATGAATCGAGCAGTACAGGCTGAAGAAGAGGGAGCCACAGGAGGTTCCTGCAGTCTTCTGGGTAAGAGGAAACGGGGATGGGAAACTGGAGGGCGGCACTGAGAATGGGGAAGGAGGGACACATGTGAGAAACACTGTGATCTCCACTTGTCAACAGAAACTGCCTCCAGCTCCCTGGGCTTTTTAACCCCGTCAAGTGGCCGCTCTTCCTCTATCGAGTGCCGGTTCCACTGGTCCCAGAGGTAGGATCTGCATTTTCCTCAGTTCCCAATGCCATTTGCAAATTATCCATCCTCCACTCTGAAAGGCGCCTGTGATGCACTGCGATTGGGCTCTGGCACTCTCAACCTCCCCTCCGGTCTCCCGTCTCTTGGCTTTCTGATGACTACTTCCTACTCCCTGAGCAACTGCGGACTTCTGCACTCTAGATGTCACTTGCTAGCCATGTTATTCTTGATAATTTCACTCAACTTTGGGAGTCAATAGCGTTAATACTTGAAAAAATAAACTTAATGCTATTTACCAACTGACATGCTAGATGGCATTACAAATTAAATTAAAAATATTATGAAAGCAAAGGTGCTTTTCCCAGAGAACAGTATCACATTCATTCTCAGCCAATGCAACAAAAATTCTCAATCTTTGAAGAATCAAAGAGTTTAATTTCGTTAAATGTTCTCATAATCAATATTTTGATAGTATTTATGAATGCTTTCTCTTATTTAACAGTTTTTTTATATAAATATGCATATTTTTTATAAAGGTCTTGACAATTTAGGTCTAATGTTGCCCATTTTGTAAGAAAAAAGAGAGAAGATATTTTTGTATATCTAAGAAAAATATATTCATAATGACTCTGCCTTTTTAAATAACACAAAAATACTTACTACTAGATTCATAAAACAATAACTATGGGACACCTTTGGATTCAGGAATCATGACGCTTCAGCTTCAGACTCACCCTGTACTGAATAACTCAATGTGATCATGCCTAGTAAATAACAAATAATTAAAATTGAAGATTTTTGAGAATAGATAGTGTATGATTCACAGATAATTTTGCAAAAGTGGAGTTTTGGAGGCTATTTATAGATAGGAGCTTTTCTTCCAAATATTTACACCTGTAAAACTCTGGAAAAAGTAACATTTAAGGGAGAACAGGAAAGGTAGTGACAAAATATTTCATGTAAATTTGGTCTCAAGTTTAACAGCCGAATCTATGGAGATGATGTTCCTGTTCTGTGCTCTGATCACTTAGACTTAATAATAGCTCTGTATACCATTTAATTATCCCATAGCCTAAGAAAGATACTACCAAATGTCATCAATTTAATAATCAAGAAATGTTTGTTAAAGGCAAGAAAGAATATTGTTAATAAATCACCACTAATTAAATCATACCTTTAAATGTAAGGGCTTGAGGGGAAAGTCATTTTGTGGTTTTCATTCTCATAGGCTACAGAATCATCCAGAGAAACAAGCAGCAAAGTATAGAACTATGATTTGTATCCAGCAAAGCAGGAGAGGAGGAAAAAGAGTAACAAAGAAATTTAACCTGAACAACAAAAGGTAGGCATGGGGGAAGAAGAAACCATTAGAAAAGATGATGAATAAAAATTCAAAGTAAGATGGAAAGAATAAGCCCTCACACCCCAGGAATCACAGTAAGTGTAAATGGGTGATGCTTAACCAATCAGACAACAGAAATAAATGTCATCCAGATATTGTGACAACACATACTGATGAACTCAGCTCCTTAATGACAGTATTCTGAGCATTTTTTCCATATCCAATTTCTTACTACCTGATGGTTTCCAAATCAAAACATTTACTATTTTCAATTCTTTACGTATAATCAATACAACGTACTGTGAACAAACATATATGGAATAATGGTTATGAATGATGCTAGATGTTCTTGGGGGAGACGGGAAAAAGGAGGAAGAGAATCCCAAAGCCATTATCCCTCACTGACGTTGCTGGCCGTGTCGGCATAGAGTCAGCACTGGTGAAATTACTCCCCGAGATGGAGCCCACATGATGCTTCTTAAATCACAATTTTCCTATACCCACTGACAGCGGATGGCGGAAGAACCCTTCACATTCATGAGCTCTCAGTGAATGAGAACACGTTTTCCAAGGAATGAAAGGAAACACCTCCTCCATTAGTGCTCATTTGTAACTCTCCTAAGCTGTGTGTGAGTCGAATCTGCCATGAGAATGGTCTTGTAGCGGGAGCAGCAATACCTGTCACAGGAGTTCTGTTTTTCAGCCGGTCCACCTCCATCGTGAAGTCATCCTTCAGGAAAAGGAACCCAATAATGGAAAACAGGTAGACGAGGATGAGCGCCAGGACGGCAGTTAGAATGATGGAGCGGCCATTCCGCGTGACACTCTTTATGACATTAAGCAGAGTCTCTTCTCTGTACACCAAATCAAAAAGCTACAAAAATAAAACAAGAAAAAAAATGCAGTGGTGCAAAAGCTGAATAAACATAAAAAGTGGTTACGAATACAGATGTAAGCCATTTTGGTTTATCTGTGAAAAAAATAACAACCTGACCGATACCTTAAAAACACACCAAAATGCATGTGTTGTCTACAGTTGGAACACATTAATAAACTGTTTTTCAATAACGATAACTCTAACACAGCACATTATGTGCATCTGTTGGTTTCATAACCAACATAATTTCAATTTTGTACAATACAGAAATAGCATAGCTTCAAATTTGAATTTAGAAAAATTATAATACTGTACTTAACCAGCTTAACTACTTATTCCTTATTTTTAGCCTCACTGATATTCTGCAGTTGTCTCTGCAATACGTAAGATACCTAAAGTGAAAATGCTGAATTATGTCTACCTAAGTGATGAATAATTGACAGAGTCATCAGCCATTATTGTTTAATCAAGGAATTAGGGGTGAAATTGCTAAAACAATTTTATCAGCCTGCTGCAGTAGAAAAGATGGGAAATTTAAAAATATTTGAGAAATGGAAGCACCTTTCCTTACTGAAGCAGTATAGCGAGGGCAAAACCTATTACTTTAGTATGTAATTTTGGAGACAGAAATATAAGCAAAAATATAACACTTTTTTTTTTTTTAAATTTTCACTTCCTTTATTGGGTTATTATCCATCTTGTGTTTAGTAGTAGAAAGTCTCTGCACTAGTTAAGAATGCAGGTATGTGTTTGCTCTCTGGAGTCAACACCAAGAATGATTTTATTTATTGCTATATTATTAAGTTGAAATTATATATTAATTAGCAAGTATATGTCATATTATCAAAAGCTGGTTAAAAGCAATAAGTGAACATTCATTTAAAAAGGCATAAATATCTGTTTGGAAATGAATAGTATTTTAAAAATTGAAATAATTAAGGTTTGTCTCCTGCTATCTGTGGGCAGTGATTAGAATTTCTAAATTAATTGAAGGGATGCATTACCAGTGTCATAGTCCCTGAAGAAACACCAGGGCCTATCCCCTGTTTTACTGAGTTACTTTTTACTCAATTTTACTGAGTACTGAGTTACTTTCCAGTTTAATTCTAGTTTTGCAAATAATTGCTATAAACATATTACCTTGTTTGCTCACCCTAGGAAACTGATATTGTATCAATATCATATGCAAAAAAAAAAAAGTTTAACTATTTTGCTATGTGCTTATCCTTCTGAAGGGAGCAACAACTTCTAGAAACAAAGTCAATATTTCTCAGGACAGACAAATTAATTAATGCAAATTCAACTTCCAAACTATCGACACTGCCTTATTTAACTTACTTAAGCATTTAGTTGATGTAAAAGGAGATTTTTCTTTACTTTAGCTCAACAGTGACTTAAAGAAAAGGCCTGGAAATGGGCTTTAAGTCACTTCTGCGTGGTTTCTAAAAGTTTATAGCTTTCAGGAGCCCCACTGGATTTCTGCTAAAAATGCTTATTTCTGGGTCCCATTCCATACCCAGGAATTGGAATCTTGAGGAGGCAAAAACGTGTAAGACGCTGGACAGATTAATCGTTCTGTTTATTTCTGAAAGGAAAATCTAGAGTGTGGTTTTTACTATTTTGGATAAAGGATTGGTATTTATGGATATAACTAGAAATACATAATCATGTATTTTTTAAAATATAAAACATATTTTTAAAAATATGTTTCAATGCCATTTTGGCATTATGTCCATTGTAATTTTCTCCTAAATCTCTAAGTGTCAAAATGGACAATATCCTTTTCACCAGCAACCCAGTGAACACAAATTAGCATCACTATTGTAAGATTAGAACAATAAAAGATAAGAGGAAAATACAACTGGCAAATAAGGTTAAGTAACATAAACTGAAAGTAACACTATTATCAATAGCTCATATACTAATTCAAATATACCTTTATTTTCTCAGTTGGCTTTCTTTGGAAAAGATTTAATAAATCCTTTCATGTGTTTTTCATATTATCTCTTTAATGAATCTTGATAGTACAAATCTATCATACTAGACCTATGCATTTTCCACACGAGAAGGTTGGAGCACAAAAACATTACAGAATATTATATGTCACAGTCAGGTCAAAGTGCTGAGTATAATGGGACTTCATATATCATGGACATGTTTTTAAAAATGGATTTTTTTTTTTTTTTTTTTTTTTTTTTTTTTTTTTTTTTTTTGCGGTAAATTAGAGCAGAAAGGGAATTCATTTGGATCCCTGGAACAGAAAAAAACTACTTTTGATTGTTGAATCATCTAACTTAACTACCTAAAAGATAACTTTGTATCAGAGCAGAAGGGACAAATCTACTTTTCTCAGGGGCTCTTTCAAGTGCTTGACAAGTAAATGGAAAATCTGCCTCTTTTCCGTCTTCCTGCATGGGTTTGCTAGCTAGGTAACAGGAAAGCAGCAGCCGACGGATTTGTCCCTCGAGAGCCAAGCAGACAGGGTCAGCATAATGTTTCTACATCTTCAACTGAGGTATCAGGAATTATTTTTTTGGGTAGTGGTCTCCACTGCATGTCCATCATGGGTTGGAGATATAAATAAACGGCTCCTATGGCATCATGATATTAACCTGGTAATGCTTTAGGTTTCAAAATGTTATCATGTATTTATATAGCCTCCTCTCCTAGTTTATGGCTATAGATCAGTCTATACGTAGGAAGTAAAACCAATAACCTGGAAAAAAAAAAACCATCTAGAAGAAACGTGAAATTCTACTTAATGAATCAGACATGTGTAGATAAGCTTCACAGCAATGACACGTTAAATATGAAATGGAGATTTCAAACAACTCACTGTCTTTTTGCAAGGTTGGCAGTTTATCCCTCCTTTTCCTTATATGCCATTCTAAAGTCACAATAATATTTGTTGTAAATAAAGTACAATGATTCCAGGGCTAAGAAAATACATCCCCACTTTTTTTCTTCTACACTCTGTTGGACAATCTCTAAACGTAATGGAAAGGAAGGATTTGGCTGAAACCAAAAAATAGCTGCTATATGAAGCCTGGGTCGGGTGGTGGGGTCATTGGTGACTTCTCAGGGAGGAAATAAAAGATTTCCATCGCTGATGTGGGTTCTTAGAGGAAAGGAGGAAAAATAATACTAATGCATGATTTTTCTAGGAAATTCTAAAAATTACATAATTTGTCCTAAATGTCAGGCCCTGCTTAAAAAAAAAAAAAAATCAAAGGAAAAAGCATAAGCAGCAGGAGCATTGTGTTATTTTTTCCAGCAGGGATTGTCCACATGGAGAAGTACTCACCAGGAAGCTATAGAAGAATTCATGGACAAAGAGACCCAGCATGCAAACCAGAACGTACGCCACGTGGTAGAGAAAGGCCATATCCAGGATTACTGCTCGGTAGCCTCGGGTGAAGGTGCCACGATTGCCCACAAAACTCACCAGAAATACGATTTTATTACAAAGCTACAGGGAGAAAAAGATTAGATTTTACTGTCTTATTTATCCCTGAAACTCATGTAAATAGCGGTCATTGACAAAACCTAGTATTCACCAAGTCTGTGGTTTTCTTTTATCTTTTCTTGTCTGGTAACTTTTGGCCTTGCTTACAAATCTGTGTGTATACATAATACACCCGAAAGTTGTAATATTTGCAGTTCCAGGAAAAAAGAGGAGGATGATTAAGGGCCCCAGCTATGTAATTGAGGCAGACCTGAATTTAAACCCTCACTCGCTCACTACTGTTGCACAAGGTCGTGCAGCAGCTGGCCTTGATAATGTCTTTGGAAAAATTAAAGCAAAGGGATTCTGACCCTTATAGAACTCTTCAGGGGATTAAACAATTCATAACGTATATGAAGCACTTAGTACAACGACTCTTTAGATACTACTCATTGTATTTTCCATATTAAAAGTAATAGATGTAATATTTTTATTATACTGGAAATGTAATAAAAAATATCTTTTCAGGAAATATCTATCTTTGATTTTTTTGACCTAGACTTTCTCTACTGAATATTGTTGTAAACAAGTAAGCCATTAAAAGAGATTTTTTGCATTTAAATACATAAAAATACATATATACTTATGTAAGTGGGTTAAAGTAAATAAAATTCATGCATATATTTTCTTTTTTTTTTTTTAAGATTTTTTTGAGAGAGAGAGAGCCCAAGTGGGAGGGGAAGAGGGAGAGGGAGAATCTTGAGCAGACTCTGAGCTGAGCATGGAGCCTGACATGGGGCTCGATCTCATGACCCTGAGAGCAGAACCTGAGCTGAAACCAAGCGTCACATGCTTAACCGACCGTTCCATGCTTAACCAGGCACCCTGCATGCATATATTTTCTAAGCTCTATGTGTGGTAGTTATTCAATAAACATTTTGGAGCTTTTATTACACTTGGTGCTATATATTTATATTAACACTATTTAAAATAGCCTTTTATGGCACAATTTTGGAATATAGAAATGTACACAGAGATTTTTTGGCAATAACAACAACGTGTGCAATGATTTCCAGGGGCACCTGGGTGACTCAGTGGGTTAAACCTCTGCTCAGGTCATGATCCCAGGGTCCTGGAATCGAGCCCCGCATCGGGCTCTCTGCTCAGCAGGGAGTCTGCTTCCTCCTCTCTTTCTCTGCCTGCCTCTCTGCCTACTTGTGATCTCTGTCTGTCAAATAATTAAATAAAATCTTTGTGCAATGATTTCCAAAGAACACAGTTATCAGAAACTTAGTGCCTGATATTTGGTTCTAGAGTCACTGCATTATTTATAAACTGAAGAACTCATTTTGCATCTTAGTCATCATGGAAACAATTACAGATTTCAAATTTCAGTTTTTCTAAAGTGTTCCTGAGTTCTTCAAGTTATCTAGTGGCACCATATTTGTCTTTACATGTCCAACACTAACTTTGGGAAAACATGTTGTCTTTTGCAACAGCATTGATTTTTCATATGTGAAAAGAAACTGCCTTATGGAATGATTGTAAATAATGGGCAGAAGTGAAATTTGAGAGTTCGGAAAAACATTTCCTTCAGCTTCCTGAAGTTAAAATCAATAAATACATGAGAAATGGGTTAACATTGCATGTTGTGAAGATAGCCAACCAAATCAAGAACATGGAAGTTCAAACCTCCTCAATTTTCCCCGTGCTAATTAATGATCCTCTCAGTAATCAGTCTTTTCCATTCTTTCATCATCTTGTGAATAATTTGAATAATGTCAGACAGAAAGTTATACTTCACTATTTAGTTTCATCATCACATATTTAAGTTATTGATTAACATAGCTACAGTATAATGATGCTTTGTGATTGGTAACCAAGAGTAAATTTAATATTATGAAAGGTCTTCATTTCAAAAGCTCAGGAAATATATACAAGGTGCTCAGATTAAGTGTGGTATTTGATAATAAACAACCACGAAAATGGGAAAATACAGAATGTCTAGGTGAAGTAATAGTGTTTTACTCTTTGAATTATTTTAAGTGGCTATTTAAGTTTAAGTTATTTGCTTTCATTCACCCACCATATTCATCAATACAAACTAGAAATAGGAAGTTCTATAAAAATTAAGTTAAAAATTTTAACTTAAGTAAAAAATTAAAATTAAGTAAAAAATTTTAATTTAAAAAAATTTTAATTTTTTACTTAAGTAAAATAATTAAGTAAAAGAAAATTAAGTAAAAAATTTTCAGAAGGATGGATGATATGCTCATGACAAATTGTTCATATGTCGTTTACTGATCTCTGTTTCCCTAAACTGAATTGTAAAAAAATTATGCAGGAAAACTATTTATAGGTCCTACACATTCAGGAAAAGTAATATGTTGAGTTCAAGTTCTCAAAAAAAAGCAATACGTTTCAGTTCTCAAGTAATGTAAAAGGAAGAACACATTTCTCCCTAAAAGGGCCTCTGCCATTTTTGCATAAAAAAATAAAGGTTCGCCTTCTCTATGTAGAGGTTGGTTTTTATTTTCTTTGAACCTTGATCTAGAGCTTGGTGTTGATGGATATATCTCTGTTCTCTTGACTAAGTCTCAAACTAGAATGGAGTTGATATTGGCACTGACATCATCTATTCCTGTAGAGATCAGAAACGAGGAGATTGTCCTTTTGTTTTGAAGTGTTCACACCAAGAAAAAATAAAATCAAGAATAAATGATTTGGGAAGGAAAAAAAGTTTGAACTCTTTTTTCTGCATCATGACCTTGAAATGTATAAATTGTTTTTATACAGCAATTCCATAAAGGTTGGGGATATTTATGGAAATAAACAAGTTACAAAGACTTATTCTCCCTTTTCATGCCCTCACTTGATGTTGTCTAACCAGTCCTTCATTTGTCAATGTCATTATGCAGGCAATCTTTGTTTCTATGGCAAGATCCTTATGGGCAGTGATAAACGGAGAGGAGAGCGTGGGAACTGGGCAAGGTGGCTAAGAGACCAGCCCCTTCTGATTTGGTGTTGAAAAGACTCCAATCAGCATACAAATAGCAAAACAAATGACCATAACTGGCCCACAATATTTTTATCTTTTTCCATCTATTCTTAAAATTGCACTTCATATATGTTTTGTTTTGTTGAGGATGGGGTGAATTATGTGATGGTGGCGGGGGGAAAGTGGGGAGAGGGGTAGGGAAACAATCAATGTAAGCTTTTTGGGCAATCTTTTAGTTATTTATTTTTTATATTTCAAGTTTTTACTTAAATTTTACTTAGTTAACACATAGTGCAATATTAGTTTCAGGAATGGAATTTACTGATTCATCACTTACATAACACCCAGTGCTCATCACAAGTGCCTTCCTTAATGCCCATTACCTATTTAGCCCAGGCCCCTGCCCACCTCCCCTCCAGCAGCCTTTTTTTTTTTTAATAATTTAAAAAATTTTTTTATAAACATATAATGTATTTAGCTCCAGCAGCCTTTTAAAAAGATGATTTACTAGTAGATCGTCTGAAAACAAAAGCAAAATTAATGTTCCTCTGTTAATTAATGTAAAGTGAATCAAATTCATTATTTTTAATTGGGTAAATTAATTGTACAGTACAGTACTGTTTTTATATATACTTCATAATTCATTGATATGTCTTTGCAGGACTTTTAACAGTGCAGTATAATGGAAGGACACTGGACTAGAAATTGTGCCATCGGGGTTCCAGTACTGGCTCTGCCACCCATTGCTTTGGTAAATCCTTCTTGTCTCTATAGGATTTTGCATACTTACTATGTGACTAACTTATTATGTGACTAACATAACATAATAAAAAAAATAATAAAATGCCTGGAAATGAATAATCCGTAAAGTGTCTCAAAGTTCTAGAATTCTATAGGATGTCCTAAAAAAGGGGATCACAGAAATTTATAGCTGCCTTTATGTTATGCTTTTTTTCCTTTTTTTTGGGGGGGGGGTCTCATTTGGTTCTATATTCTGACCAGGAATTCTATCCTGATCTTAATTGTGCCTATGGGAAAACATGACCTATTTTCCAGAAATGAACTATAGCCAGTAAGTAAGTAAGTAAGTAAATAAATACTTTCTAGTATTTCTTGAAAAGAAAAAGTGAATTTATTAAACTACATATTAACTACATTATTGTATTGCTATCAACATCAACCTTATTAAAATTTATGGGATTTCATTAAAAAATCTCCATTTCAGTAGTGTTACATCTTAGGCAGGATAAGGTTCTATGGTCAAAGCATAAGGCAAGATTTTCAGGCCACCATCACCCTGGAAATCTTTTAAATTGCCAACAAAACAGTATAATAAACAAGGGTGGTATAAGATATACTGTTTTTTAATAAATTCAACATTTCTAGTTTTCCCCCAGCACTGAAGCAGTTTCCTGCTACTACAACTGAATATCAGAATTAGTTAGGAGCATTCAGTGACCATATTATATGAAAATAGGGTATGTATGTTTGTGTGTGAGAGAGAGAGAGGTGGGGGGGAAGAGAGAGAAAGAGAATGAATGTTTTGTCTCAGAATATATAATGAATTTGTGTATGTTAAGCGAACATATGGTGGGGCTCAACCTTATAGATTAGCAGTAACATGAGCCCTCCCAGGGAACTACCTGCAGGTAAGTAACTAAGGGCATGACACTATTTAATGTGAACACTGTGGCTTATTGCTAATAGAAAGCTATCTGCTAAACTCCACTTGCCTCTCTCTGCAAAATGGTGAGACCAAGTTTTAGCATAAGGAAACATTTCCACACTACAAATAACTTTAAGAAAGGCAAATAATTTACAAATGCCATTAAATAAATTATACATTTGTAGGCACTACCACAAAGAAAAAACATTGTACATAAGAAGTGTTTAGAAGATATTAAAAGATCTCCCACAGGTATTTACTGCATTATTTATTATGAAAAATATCTAAAAATCTAAACAATAAAAATTAATGGTTAAACAGATCATAAAGTGTCCATGTGACTGGGAATATTATCATTATTAGTGATATAGAAATACTAAGTGATCTAAAGTTTATAAAAAGGGGTGTTTGTATTTGCCAAAATAATATGTTAATTTCCATTGCAATGGAGATGGTGAGAAGAAAACTGTACTGCGTTTTAAGATATGCTTTAAACAAAGAAAAACATCTGAATTTTTGAAACATCTCAAACACTGAGATACCCTTGTGACAAGATGGAGAAATTAGTTGCAATCTAAACAAAACTTTGATTTTTAGAAATGAGTGAAGATGACATAAATGAGGCATCATAATAAACAGAAACTGCTAATACTAGATGCTTGGAACACAGATTGAGCTTTTTTCTTCCACTTGATTCCTTTTCCAGAAAAGCAACTTTCTGACATTACAAAAGACACTGAGTCCGGAAACAAATAACTCTCTGTGAACCGAAATATAAATCCTTTTCTGATTATGATACCGATGTTTCACAATTAAGTAGTACTTCACGTATTAGGTGTTTGAGAAATGGTAGCCTTCGTTGCTATTCTATCATCACTGCCATTGCTCTGCTCTAAACCTTCACACTGATCCTCTAAACCCATCTTCTCAACAACTGTGAGTGCAGACGAGGCTTTAACATCTTCATTTCACTGATGAGAAAAATGAAACTCAGAGGCTCCATTTGCCTATGGTCTAGAATTTGGATTCTCTTTAAGCCTTAACCATCAGGTAGATATTTTCTTTTGTTTTTCCTGCTTCTGATACCTACAATTTTAGCACCTATGGCTTTACCTGTCACACAATGCAAACTTTTAAGTATAAATTAATAAATATATTAAATCCTAAGTTACAAAAAGTGACTGATCTATGTTTTCATTTCACTTTTTCCTTGCCCTCCCCGGGAAATGGTAAGCCACAGACAGTTTTGTAATAAGCTTGTTATGACAAAAGTTAAGGTAGATAATTATTTGTTAAGACATTTCATTAATCTATACAATATCAAAACTACAGACAGAAATGATCCATATCTATACTATCAAACTCATAATTATTCTATCCAATTTGTTTGTTCCAAATTAAAGTTGATTATTTTCTTTGTCAAAATGCCCTGAACTGGCAAATTGTAATATATCATTCCGAGGGGCTGTGCAAATGGATTTTTTATGCTGTGAGAGGTATGAGAGTACCCACAGATTCATACAGTTAATCAGAAAGATACATTTCAATGTATATTTCTTCTCAAGTATAAAACTTGCCTCTTACATGAGTTGTCATTTCCTACAGTGGAACTATTCTCACCACACCAGGCAGAGATTATTTTTTATCCTGTCCCCTAAGGGGGAAAGGAGAAATAACTCCAAATGTTTTTGGTTTCCCCAATAGACATTCGAAATGTTTTTCCTTATCTCTTTATATATTCTAAAATGTTCTGTATAGCAAGAACCACATCCTCTATTTCTTGGTATTTTCAATGCCTATCAGATAACAGAGGCCGAATAAATGCTTGTTATTTCTGAGCCAACACTATTTAGCTATTATTTCTTTTTTTAAATTTTTTTAAAATTTAACTTAATTTTTTTTTCAGTGTCTAGCTATTTTTCCAACTTATCAAACTTGGGATTTCTCCCTCAAACTAATATCTTATTGAGGACCAGCTGCCAGTTTATGAATATTATTTGCTTCCTCAAATAATCTGGCTCAATATTCAATGTATTTTTTATTAATAAGCTGGACTTACCTAACTCAAGTTTTTTAATAGGGTTAGAAAAATTTAGATAAATACATGAAGATTCCTCAGTTAACTTGGTTTCCAAAACATTGAAAGTTCAAGTTTGGTTCATATAAAGAATTTATGAATATTTAAATGCTAGGGATTAAGTGGGAGAAAAATGGAGTTGAGAGTGAGGGAGTGAAGAGGGCAGGATTTTACCTATGGATGTGACAACTTCTGCCCTCAAGAAACTTAAGAATCCTACATTTGGTACTTGACAGAAATCTTTAGTGATAGACCTCTTTGCATGTATAGTACACTTCCCTTTATTAACAGTGATTGAAGATAACTGGTAATTTGGTTGTGTGAATGTTCTAGTTAACTGGGAGTCGTCATTTATATCATGTCAAATTTTCAAAGAAGTATAATATAATAGTGGTCAGAAACACAGACTTGGTCATTCTAGCTCAGCTTTATAATTCTCAAAAGTTTGGCTGGCTATTTCATTTATTCATTTTCAATAAATACTTGCCACGTATTTTATGTACAAGGCACTATAAATGTATAGGAATACAAAGATAATTTTTCACTCATTCTTTCACTCACACATTAGCTAATTTATTAAAGAAAACTCTGTTGGATACCAAAGACATTCCAAGACACGAAACGATCAATCATTATCCTTGAGAACTGTATAATGTAGTAGGGAAGATAAGGCCTATATGCAGATACCAGAATAAAGGACACTATGTTAGAAACCCCATACAAGGTACAGACAGTGCTTTAGGGATTCAGCAGACATATTAGCAGTATTTATTCACTGCCAGGACATTTTTTCTTTCATTAACCTGATGATTTACCCTTCTTTTAATATCCCTTTATGAATATGCCATGTAGAATGCTGTCTAGTCCCTTTAAAATTGTATCTCTTGGGTACATTATTAATATTTGGAATGGTGCTCTGATTACTTATTCTTAACTTACCTAATTGAGGTTTTGAAATATGCTCCCTTGTTCTAATATTTTAAAATTTAGTGAAAAAAATATTAATCTCATCTACGCCTTTCACAAGTTTAGGTGTTTTGTTCACATAAAGAGCCAAATTTCCTATTTTCTCATGTAGCAATCCTTTTTCTTTGGTCATTTTATAAAAGGTACTCACTTTTATAAAAAGTACTCAAAATTCTACTGACTATAATTTAATCTTTCTTGGGTGATTTAGAAGTCACTTTACGATGTTCACAGTGGCTTGGAGTAATTTTTGTCAGTATCTTTGGGTATAGGATACAGAAGGCATTAAAATTGGATTGGATTAAGTTGATTGCAGAACTGGGTCATGCCCCAAATGTCACCTTTTCAAGTGTATCAAAATTTTTACTTGTCATTTTTTCCTTCTCTCTCAAAATTACAAACATACAAATCAAACTCTCGTTAATTTGAATTCACAATAAATAAGAATTTACTATGTACACGTGAATTAAAATATAGAGCTACATTTCTATAGTTAGTACACTTTTTCAAATAATTTACAAAAGGACAAAGCTAAATAAAATACTTACATTAGCTGCACCAAGAAGTATTAACGTAGGCCCAAGACCTATTGTATATATCGACCTGAGCATTATTGACACAAGAAATGGCCGAATACCCACAGGCTTGGAGAAGAAAAACAGCATAGATGTGCAGACAGCGACGGCTATCCAAAGAAGAACGGAGAACAACGGAGAAAGTATACCTGTAAAATGTGGAAGAAGTTTATTTTTACTAAGAACAAAAGTAGAAAATGTTAAAATCTTTGCCACTCTACTTTATATAACATAGCAAGTTCAGCCATAAGACACTGAATTTCATAACAACCCACTCTACACACTGTATATTTAGAGGAAATGTCTCTGAACACATTACTCATTATTGCATTTCCAGAAAGTTTGTGATTATTTTCAGGATGTTTAAATATTCACTAGTTAAAGTAGCTTCCATTAACTCTGAGAATTGTTCATCTTTCTCTCCTATGAGAGTTGTATGTTAAATGCTTCTGCTAGATGTATCTCACTTGGGAACTTTAATTCAAAACTTATGGTTAATGAGTGTAAAATGCATAGTTAAATCATGTGAAACTAAGGGTTTTGTCCCTGAACTCATACCTTGTCTTGTTCTATTGTTATAAAGTTTCTATCTTGCAGATTCTTCTAAAGAATTCAGAATGTAAAATATCCAGTCTTTAATAAAATAGACACAAGCTTTACCTGTTAAAATATACATGTATATAAATGTATGTGATGTATGTATATATGTATGAGTGTGTGTACTGAAAAGCCAACTCAAGCTCTAAAAAACTATTGAGCTTTTAAATCATCAGAAAACAAAACAAAAGTCATCAGAAAACAAAAGCTCCAAATATTCAAAAAATGAACCCAATTGTATCAAAATTTCTTTAGAAATTGACCAAAATTGAAATTTTTATGTGATGTTATTCACCATACAGTACATCATTAGTTTCTAATGCAGAGTTACATGATTCATTGCTTACATATAACACCCAGTGGTCCATGCAATCTGTGCCCCCGTTAATACTCATCACCGGGCTCACCCATCCCCCCAGACTCCCCTCCTCTGAAACTCTCAGTTTGTTGTCCAAAAGAAGTTTAAAAATATATCTCCCTTTTTAAAAAAAAAAAAAAAGTATAATTTACTGATGTTTGCACTGACTATGTAGATTCAAGGAATCCCCTGTTGAAGGTCATGTGGTGCTGTATTTGCAGAAGAAGTAAAGTAAGGGGCCACATTCCTGGGCTGATTAGATCAGCTATAGGACCTCAAACACATGCCTATTGGCTAATGAAGTCTCAGGGGAAACAACAAAATGGAGATTTTCCACTAGCTATTTCTTTTGGCCAGTTTTATTATTTATAAAATTCACTTCTGCATGCAAAACACCACATGCGCTTTGGTGTGTAGAGTCTCTGTATTATCAGTGAAACCCTGAGATTATCTGAATTCCTTCACTGAATTCTGCGTAAGCCTTCAGTTCATAGTGAGTGCTGACAGATCAAAAGTAGGTAGGAAAAGCCTGTCAGACATTAAAAAACAAAACAAGTCAGGTAGCAAAGAGCATTAGCTTAGACAGGTTTATTTTTGCAATGTTTTGTCCTCATCACGTTGTCCCAAGCAAAGAGTGATGAAGGATGGTTGGGAAGAGAGATCTGATCTAACCCCTTCACCAAATTAATTAATTAATTAATCTATCTATTCATTCATTCATTCATTCATTTGCAAGAGAGATTGTGCACATGAGCCTGTGGGGAGTGGGGGCAGAGGGAGAGGGACAAGCCGACTTTCCAGTCAGTCGGGAGCTGATGCAGGGGCTCGATTCCAGGACCCTGAGATCATGACCTGAGTTGAAATCAGATGCTTAACCAACTGAGCCACCTAGGCGTCCCACCCCTTCGCCAAATTTATGATCTGATAAGATGACTTTGGAGATAGGGAAGGAAAAGGGGTACATTTCTCTGGAAATTACCTTAACTCTCATCCTCTGGCAATGCTAACAAAATGGGTGCCCAACTTATGTTTATTGTAATTTGGTTTAAAAGCACTTTGTGTCTACCGAAACAGCCTGACCACCAACTGCCCTCATTTCACAAATCTCAAAGAGCCATGGAGAAAATGAGATCTTCAACTCTCTCTCATGCTTATTTGGATGACATCAGAATGGAAGCTTTGGAAGAGTGAAGATCATCTCTGGGGCTATCATGGTACGTGGCATATAGCAACAAGTAAATATTTACTGATTAAATGAATATGCAAAAACACAATCTGTGAGCTCATTTTGAGTAAGTAACTAAGTCTCCAGTTACAAATTTGCCAAGTTGTGGAGCTTTACTCTTAAGTTTACTAAAACTTCCAACATCTATGCACATTTAATGACTTTTAGCGAGTCATTGGACTCTTCAGTATAATTCATAAGCAGTGTCTTGGCATGACATCCTTATTTTAAAAGTCCTAGCATTGACAGTGAGAGTTACACTGTTCATTATTATTCATGCCTGATAACTAACCACATCATGGCTATTTTTTCCTCGGCAATATCTGTCTTGCCAAGATTTCCTCTTGATTAAACAAGAAATTATAACCATGCACTTAAAACTGGGCATTTGATCCCTTTGTAGACAGAACTCAATGATCATCTAATGTTGCACCTTGCACTTAGTTTAATACTAAACATGTATTTGTGAAATCAATAAACTTAAAAGTTATTTAAAATGGCTATTGACAATATTGCCAATTGTCAATAATTTGTAATCATGTTCTGTTAGAATGGTCACATTAGTTTTTAGCTGAAGATTTAATGCAAAAAAATACTAAATTGAAAACTCTGACAAACTCTAGAGAAGACTGTTTGTCTTCTCTTTGTCTAACCGGATTGTTAAAGCCAGAATGTAGATGTTAGAATCTACATTCCTTAAACCCGGTTTTCACCCACTAAGGGTAGGAGAGGAGACAATCCTTAACACTCTATATTTGTATCAATTTTCTATAATAAGCATTGTTACGTTAATAATGGAAAAATCTTCTAGAATTCACTCTATATATTTTGAAGTCTTATAAAGTATGAAGTTTGTCCTTTATGGAAGAAAATTTAAACAGCCAATTTGGAGACCTCAGTTCAAGCCATGTATTGGAACTCTCCTGTCTGCCTCACATGACTTCTGTACAGTTCACTGTACAGAACATGCTGCTTCTTACCTCCAGTCCCTCTCTATTTCTCTGCCTCCCACATAACCTCACAAGTCTTCCCTCTTTCCCCCATCTCAATCCAGCTAAAGTGGATATCCATCCATACATCCATGGCTGCTCTTTACTATTGTGCCTTACGCATTTCTTCATCCCTGAACTAGATCATGAGCTCCTTGAAGACAGGACATCTTTATCAACTTCTGTGTCTCTAGGGCCTACTACAGTGCCTGGCACATAGCCACACTTCATCAATGGTTGTTATTCAGTCAAATGAATTAAAATCATCTTGAAGAACTTGACTTTCTTTAACACAAAGCATTTGGGGGGGGAAAAAACTGCCTTCTAAATTTGAATGTGATTTAAAAAAAAAAACCACAAAAAAAAACAAGTCATATGCTATCTGGAAATAAGAAATTCACATGGCAGCAGTTTCTCCACTGTCTGCCTTTGCCAAACTGGAAAGGGACAGTTGGCATGGCCAACGTTCAACTTCTGAATGGACATCTGGGATGTTCTCTAGCATCAACAGCCGCTGCCTCAGCCCACACCAGCAACACCTCATTCCTCCACTTTGGGTACAAGTTTCCTTTTTAGAGAAGCATATGTTAAATAAATAAACCAATCAAACAAACCAAAACCTATAGCCACAAATAAGCCCTGCATTCCTGAATAAATCCACACTGAGCTCACCCCCTTGGGAAACCTGGCATCGGAGGCCTGTGATTCCTGGTGGAAGTGACCACTCAGAATCAATCAATATCATTGGGAAAGGCCAAGGGAAAAAATGGCTTCCCCTCCAAAAACGTAATGAGGAAATGAGGAGAGATGAAGCCAGAAATATTTAGAATGACCTAAAAAGTGATATATGTAAACTTCTTTTCATTACTACCTCTAATTAGGAGTTCTCTAAAGCCCAGTTACCATGTTGAATTGTGTGGGATAAAGGAGAGGTGACCTGGAACTGCCCTCAAGTGTTCACAGCCTCGGGCTGAGATGTCCTCCATTTCCCAAGGGTCAGCAGTGCCCTTCTGGGTGCACTAGGCCTTTCAGTTGCCCGAAGGGGCCTTCCTCGGCGCCTCCCTACCATTCAGGCTCTTTGGAGAAGGTGGATCGGAGCTAGTCCAGTTGTCTTTCCAGCCTAAGCAGAAGCCACATGTTCCTGTCAGTTTCCCTCTACGCGACAGCGTAACCAGAAAAAGCAGTAATGGGATTCTCACTGCACTGAATTGGGCAGGGAAGGGGAAATTCAATTGGTGAAAAAGAGGGAACACTGGGAAATGTTTGAGAATCTGCCTCTGGTCCCGGAACATGCCTAAGATTCACTCCGATCAGGGTTTCAGTCTCCTGGTTAGCACCATAGCTTACCCTACAAATCCTCGTTTCCCACCACCTCAGACTGCAAACCAGGCTAGGGATGTCTATGGGAAAGATGCACTTAATTAAAGGAAAAAAAGTATTTCTTTCCTTCAATGTTTGAAGATGTTTGTTGTTCTTGTTCTCCCTTGTTCCTGAATCCGATTCTGATTCTCAACCACATTAGCATTACCCTAAGGTGTTATGAATAAAAAACTTGCTGTATAGCTGAATGAATAAAAACAACTGCTTAGTGTTCCCCTCCACAAATGAATGAATGAATGAATGAATGAATGAATGAAACTGAGCTCTTCAAAGCCCGGCCATGAAAGGGGATTATCTACAGCAGGAGTTGGGGAGGGAGTGCACTATAAGCTGATCCCCTGAGAAACACCTTCCCCCTAAGTATCTCCTTTTGATTATTCAACATCACCACTCTGGTGGAAGGGAGATAATACTCTCAGTTAATATTACAACCCAACAGTGAACCAGATGTAAGTCATTCCCAGCTTATATGTGATCAGGCTGGAAAGCATACTTGGAGAAAGCTTACACAGCCCACTGCCTCTGCCAACCCCCAGTCCTCACAGAGGACACAGTGACTCTCGACCAGCCTGGAGCAGGTCTGGGGTAGGGGAAAGTGGC